ATTGGTTAATTGCTCTCAGTGTCAGGAAATTTCTCCTTAGTTCTAAGTTGCTTCTCTCCTTGATTAGTTTCCCCCCATTGCTTCTTGTTCTACGCTCAGGTGCTTTGGAGAATAGTTTGACTCCCTCTTCTTTGTGGCAACCCCTCAGATATTGGAAGATTGCTATCATGTCTCCCCTGGTCCTTCTTTTCATTAAACTAGACATACCCAGTTCCTGCAACCGTTTTTTGATTGTTTTAGCCTCCAGTCCCCTCATCCTCTTTCTTGCTCTTCTCTGCACCGTTTCCAGAGTCTCCGCATCTTTTCTACATCGTGGCGACCATTTTGGGTATTCAGGCTTCAGGCAATACCAGGGGGGGCTATGTCCCTAGACAGAAATACCAGCCAGATGGGCAGTAGAAACGTCCCTTTCGAGAGGGAGGAGGAGGAGGAGGAGGAGGAAGAGGAGGCAGGTGTGCTGTATCTAGGAAACTAGATATAGGCCCAACTCTTCCCCCATTGGGGAACGCCTGGAGTCGCGTTGGGACTTATCTTCCTCCAATGGTAGAATTTTTCTCCAGCCCCCCAAGTTTTTTCCAGATCTCTCCAGTCTCAAATCCGTGGGTGCTTCATCACTGGAGGCTTTGAAGAAGAGACTCGACTGCCACTTGCCTCAAATCGTCTAGGGAGGGTGTGTCAAAACTCATGGCCCGGGGGCTGGATCTGGCCCGCAGGGTGCTTAGATCTGGGCTGTGGTGAAAACCAAGCTTGGTGGGGGGGGGGAGGCACATGCCCTCTCCCCCCCTCCGGCAAGGTACATTTTCGCTGCGGAAGGCTATCAAAACAAACTCAAAATGTTTTTTTTTCCCTTTTGCATTTGAGCATGCAGGAAGGGACAGGAAAGAAATGGAAAAATAAGGGAAAATGGGAAGAGAGCAAGGAAGGAAAAAGAAGGAAAGAAGAAAGGAGAAGGAAGAGGGGAGGAAAAAAGAAGAAAAAGAAAGGAGAGAGTGGAGGAAGGGAGGGAAGAAGGAAGGAAATAAATGATAATGAGAGTGAGGGGGGTATCAGGGAAGTCCTGCCTTAGCTCTTCTTTCCTTCCTTCCTTCTTTCCTTCTTTTCTTCCTTCCTTTTCTCTCCTTTTCCTTCCTTTCCTTTCCCTCATTTTCTTTCCTTCCTTCCTTCTTTTTCCCTCCTTTTCCTTTCCTTCATTTTCTTTCCTTCCCCTCATTTTCTTTCTTTCCTTCCTTCCTTTCCCCCCCTTTTCCTTCCCTCTTCATTCTCCTTTCTTCTTCCTTCCCCTCTTTCCCCTTCCTTCCTCTCTGCCCATCTTCCCATCTTTTTCTACTTTTTCCTTCCCTCTTCATTCTCCTTCCTTCTTCCTTCATCTCTTTCCTTCTTTTCCCGTCCTTGCTGTCTTCCCATCTTCCCTTCTTTGTCTTTCCTCTTTCCCTCTCTCTTCTCCCATCCCTTCTTGTGTGCTCAGATGCAAAAGGGGAAGAAACGTTTATCTTTTTCTTTTATTTTGAGTTTGTTTCGATAGCCCTCTGCCAGCGAAAACGGTGCTCCATTTTCTCCGGGAGAGGCACCACCGGCTGGTCCTTCACCTGTTTCCAGGCCGATCCCGTGGGCCAGGTTTAAGCACCCCACGGGCTGGATGCGGCCCCTGGGTCGAGTTTGACACCCCTGAGTTCCACCATGTGTAATTGACAGGCTGTATTTCATCCTGGATCTGTTACCTGTTGTTTATTATTTGATTCCAGAATTTTTAATCGTGTATTTACTGAGTGCTTTTTTAAAAATTTGTTCTGGTCTTTGAGTGTAATAAATTGAATTTAATTGAATCCCGCGTGTCTCTCTTTCCCAACGAAAGGGACCCCGCGGTCGACGGCGGAGAGCTACGAAATGGGACTCAAGTACCCGAAGATCAAGAGGGAATCTCCTCCCATGAGGGGCTTTGAGGGGGCCATCGCCAAGGGCAAGCTCTACGACGGGGTCACCACCATCAAGGAGATGGGCCGCTCCATCCACGAAATCCCCCGGCAGGAGCTGCTGAATCAGGAGAGCCAGAAGAACCCCGACATGGTCCCCGGCGTCCGGCCCATCATCGAAGGCTCCATCTCGCAGGTGAGCAAAACGTCAGAGAACCCTCCGATCCTCCCGGAGGAATTTCTTTTTTTTAAGAGATTTGGAAGGGGTGGTGGAGGTCACAAAGCCTCGTTCCTATTCAGGACAGGCATCCAGATCCCAGACAGACAAGTTCTTGTCTGTTCTTCTAATATAGGTCATCCTCAACTTACGACAGTCCATTTAGTGACCATTCAAAGGGGGAAAATAGACTTATGATCTTTTTTCACACTTTATGACCCAGCCACACCTACCAGCCACTCAGAGGGCTGCGCCCACGCAGCCACACCCACATGACAGCATAGATGGTCACACCCACAAAGATGCACCCAACTGGTAGCATAGGTGGCCACGCCCACACATCCACGCCCACAAGGCAGCCTAGATGGCCACACCCACATAGCCACACCCACATGGCAGCCTAGATGGCCAAACCCCCGTGGTTCTAAACGGCACTGTAGATTTGTGGAACCTCTTCTATAGAAGAGTTTAGAACTGGCAGGAACCCACCCCTGCCACACCCACACAGCCACGCCCACATGGCAGCCTAGATGGCCACACCCACACAGCCACGCCCACATGGCAGCCTAGATGGCCATACCCACACAGCCACGCCCACATGGCAGCCTAGATGGCCACACCCACACAGCCACGCCCACATGGCAGCCTAGATGGCC